CAGGGAAGATAAACTACATTTGTGAAGGGAAGGAGAAAATACCTGGGACATATCTAGGGTCATGTAACAATTGGAATATCTTGAGGAATGAGTACGTTTTTCAACAAGAAGCTCCTCTGTAGAAAAATGTTAGTCCAGCAACATGGCTGGTCTGACAAGGGATCACATCCAAAGACCCTTCTAGATCTGTGTGACCTTGCTGGAACACAGAAACACCACATACCTTTAATCCCTCTGGCTGGAATATAGAATATACACTTTTAATCCCAAACAATGATGTCTAATTGAGGAGCAGACAAAGTGATGGAACAGAGAAAGTTTTGACAGAATGAGTCAGAGATAGCATATGTCCCATTATCACGAAAACTGACATGAAAGGGAGGCGCTACGTAAGAGCAGTGCAGGGAGAGAGGGGAGAGCTATGTGGACACAGTACAGTGCAGTTTGGGAGCTGAGTTTGGTGCAGTTCAGTTGAATGCAGTTGAGTTCATACAGTTCCTTTTAGTTCTATTCAGTTGTATACTCAGTGCAGTTCAGTTTGTGGAGTTTAGAGGCATGTTTTCCAAGCAGAGCAATTCAGTGAGAAGCTAAGAGAAGCCAGACTGAACCAGTCAGCTTAGAGTAGAATTTGAACTAAAACAGTTGAGTTAAACCAAGCAGCCAGAGTTCAGAAAGAGAAAGGGTGAGCTTCACTCATAAATGAATATTAGACATGTAATATAGGATAAACCTACTAAAATCTTTACACTTAAAGAAACTAATCAAGAAGGAGGACTGTGGCTAAAACGCTCAATCCCCATTCAGAAAGGCAAAGAGGAGGGACATCAGAAAAAGGAGAAAACAGGGAACAGGACAGAAGCCTGCCACAGAGGGCCTCTGAAAGGCTCTATCCAGCAGGATATCAAAGCAGATGCTGAGACTTATGTGTGTTCCAGTGGTAAAATATGTGTATGTATAGTATGCATGAAGTCCTAGGGCTCTCTTCTCAGAATGATAAAGAAGAAGGGCAAGGGGTGGGGAGGAGGACGAAAAGTTAGAGGAGGAATCATCAGCAAGAGCAAAGATGTTAAGAGAAGCAATCTCTAGGTGTGTTTACAGAATATGAGAATGTGGATAATATATGCATGTCAACAATAAAAAATAAGGCAGCAAAAAAGCTTTGAAATAGAATGGAAATAACTCTGAATTGTTAAATAATATTTGTTAGTCATTAAAATATTTCACACAAGAAAATGATTAAGATTAAATGATAAAATTATCTTGTAAAAACGTAATTCTACTAGCCAAGATGTAGTGGGAGAAAGAAAAATGGGCTGAATTTCAGGAATAAGAAAGTTACTTTGATTTATTTTTTTTATTTTGAAAAAATTGCTACATCCTAAGAACATTACCCAAACTTATTCTTCATAAGGACTTGGTTAATTAGGTATTTTTATTAAAAAATTTCACATAAAAAAGTGGCTCATAGAGGTTTTATAAATTGTTCAACATTGAAGAACTTTAAAGAAATGGTGCTTGAAGGCAGCAAGTAAAAGTACTTGCTGTATGTGGTGGTTTAAGTGAGAATTGCCACCATAGGCTCATGTTTGAATGTTTAGGTTCCTAGTTAGTGGGTCTGTTTAGAAAGGATTATGAAGTGTGGCCTTGTTGGAGTAGGTGTAGATTTGTTGGAGGAAGTATGTCTCTACAGATGGGCTTTGAGGGTTCAAAAGCCCATGCCAGGCCCAATGTTTCTCTATCTATCTGTTGCCTACACATAGGATCAATGTGAGTTTTTATCTACTGCTCCAGCATCATGTCTGTCTGCTTACCATCATGATGATCATGAATTAACCTTCTAAAACTGTAAGCAAACTTTCAATCAAATGGTTTTTTTAGACAGGTTTTCTCTGTATAACTCTGGCTGTCCTGGAAGTCATTCTGTAGACCAGGCTGTCCTTAAACTCGGATTTTCCTGCCTCTGCCTTTCAGGAACTAAGATTAAAGGCTTGTGCCATCATACCGGACTTAAATGTTTTGTTTTGTTTGTTTGTTTAAGATTTGCCTTAAGGCTCAATGTTGATGCAATTTGATATGCTGGGGTAGGTGGGGTAGGAGGGCTCCTCTTCTCTGAAGAGTAGGGGAGGAGTGATAGGGGAAACAAGGAGGTCAAGTAGGACTGGGAGGAGAGGAGGTAGGGTGCTATGATCAGTATGTAAAATGAATAGATAAAAATATTTTAAAAAAAACTTACCTTAGCCCTGGTTTCTCTTCACAACAATAGAACAATAACTAAGACGCTGCATAAGCCTTATGACCTGAATTCTATCCCCAGAACCCACAGTGGAATGGGAGAACTGTCACTTGAAAATTGTTCTCTAACCTCCACACATGAATGTATGAATGTACCCACAAGTTCACATATATGCACATGTATATACACACAAGCATTAAGTGATTTAATTTTTGAAAATAAAAAAATAATTCAGAGATTTAAATCTATCTCAAGAGAATTTATGCCCATTCTTATAAACATTCTATTATACTACTCATCTGAACATAAATATGAATGCAGGGAACAGTAAAATGGATCAACAGGTAAAGACACCTGCCACCCAGCCCACTGACCAGAGTTGAACCCCTAGGATCCATATCAGGAAAGAAGAGAACCAAATCCCACACACTGTGTGCTTATGGGTATAAGCACACTGTGTGCACTTATTTTGTGTGACATATACACAAAACAAACAAACAAAATTTAAATAGAAACATGTTTTAAATGTAATCTTGGCTCCTCTGGAAAGTGCATTCAGGAGACATACGATGGTCTTCAGTGAGTCTCCTGAGTTTGGGCTGAACTTACACATTTGAATCTAGCCAGCAGAAGGTATCAGAAGTAATAGAATACCACTTAGAAGTTGGATTGGCCTTTGGCCCATGTTTGTCGTGTGGCTGTCTCTAAGAAAGCTAACTATAGTGTTGTAAGGCAGCTTGAGATGCTCACATGGGAAGAGACAAGAGCTAGCCAACCACATTAGTTGAACACCATCCCCCAATGCAGCCTCAAAATCTTCTGATGAGCTGTAGGCAGACTTGAAAGACCTGAACCAGGGATTTTGTGGCTAAGTTGGGCTTGGATTTCTGACACACACACACACAAATGGAGAAATAAGAAATGATGCTTTAATTTAAGTTGTTAAATTTTGGATGATTTGTTATCTAGCCTAGATACTAAGAGTGGACAGCAATTGTTTTAAGTTATTACAGAGTAAATATTTTCCTTTTTCTAAGTAAGACAGAGATCGGAGGTAGGAATCTGCCTAAGAGATATTAGATTACTCCTGAAATGAACCACAAGCAGACAGCCTAGATAACAGAATATTGTGTCTTTGACCGCTCTATCCAAACATCTGTGAATCAAGGCATCTACCTACTTCATCCTCCTGTGTCACTTCTTTAAATATCTTTTCCTAAATGTATTGTTGAAATTCTAGGAGTACTAAACCCCAATTTTTTTTAAATTGGAAAAACAGTTTAACTCACCTCATAGCAAACTGTGTCTTTCCAAAGTCTTATATCACACTGTACATTCTCATTAAATACACAGTCTATCCTATTTGTGGCTTTAGATCTGCTTTGCAGATACCCTCTCCTCAGTCTTCTTATAAGAACCAAGTCTTGTGCAAACATATATTCTTGGTATTCAGTACTTAAAACATAGATACAACTTAATAAATTTTAAATTAATCAGTTAATGAATGCATTGTTCAACCAATGAAAGAGTGAGGAAGTCAACAGGCAAGACACTACGAATATTGAAAACTCCTCTGAATATTACAGGTAAGGTTTAAGGCTAATGCTAGTCTCTAAAATGTTTGCTTACTTTTACATTTAACTCCAAGTTTTACCAGACCTATTTCTCTTTGATAATCACCTAAAGAGCTCATCACTCTTATTTACAAAACTTGCATTCATACTATTTGCTTGCTTCACTCTAAATAAAGCTTTCCTTGGTACTCTCACAGACTCCTATGCATACCCTGGTACAGAATCCAGTGTTACATCATATTACCATATTGTCATGGTTGGTTACTTGTTTGTCATTTTCACCTAATCATAAGTCCCTTAAGGAAAGTTTTTCTTTGTGTATTTGCACATGCAGCTAAAGAACCACATCTGCCACAGGCACTCAAATTTGAAATCACGGGTAATAGACTGAATACATGAGGAAAAGAATGTTGCATCCTAAAAAAGAATCTTAGAATATTCTATTTGCTCATTTCAAATAAAATGTCAAAAATCCAGGATGCTCCAATTCCTGGACAGAGTAACATTAATATAATTAAAATTATATTTATTATTAACATAAAAAGTTAAGCTTAAAAAAAAGTGCTTTATTACAAGAACAGGCCCCAGACAAAGCTATCTTCAGTATGTTTATGCTTATTCCTCATGTTCTTGATCCTGTTTCAGAAAAGCAAAACAACAACAAAAAACAAACAAAAACTCCTTAATCAAAGATTCTCTATCCTATCCCCAGGTGCAACCAGATGAGATGAAAAACTTAATGAATTAAATTAAAGAAACAAATTGGTTTAGTGGGATCATGGATACTCCTGAACTAGCAGTCCCATTCCACTAAGACTCTTTTCCCAAGGCCACAGCCTCACTCCATAGGAGTGGGGAAAAGCACTTAAACACAAAGGACCTCACTCTCCTGGGGTAAGCTCTCTTTTAGTACTGGGAGACGGAGATTAATAGCTGGGGCATCTTTAAGGTTTAGACTCAAACCTTTCCAATCTGAGGTATGACTGTGGGCAACCTCACCAGGACCCAAGTAATCTATATGTAAAATGAAATAATAGGGATATTTGCCTCAAGGGATTTGGAAAAATTAAATGGGTTGATTCAGATGTTCAGAAAGTACATAGGAAACAGCAAACAGTTAATAACTAAGTATCATCATTAGCATTCTTAAGAAGGAAATTCCCAGAGATGACCAAATCAATTGGGGTACTTACTGATTTGGTTGTTCAGCTTGAAAGCGATGTCTAACTGCAGGATAAATAGCATGAACTGGAACCATGGGCTCATCTCCATAGAAGGGAGTGGAATGTGTACAGAAAATACAATGTCATTGGCTTCAATTTCCCTTGGAATTGCTTCCTCGATGTCACGGATCTTGTCACACTTGTTTGGTCCCCAAGGCACCAGCCATCTTGTCTTATGGTGGTTTTTACGGACATCCACACATTTTATCGACATGTAGGGCACTGCTGTCGTTGGTGCTGGAGCTGAAAAGAGAGTGTTTTCTTATTTTAGAAAATAATCTACTGAAGTGGCCACTTGTAGCTAATGCTCTTTTCAGTTCTGCCTTCCATTTGTACACTGCCATCTACAGCTGAGGAGCAATTGCTCTCTGAGATCCTCCAAATCCAAGTGAGGGATCCTCCTGTCACCCCTAGAGGACCACAAAAGTATCTCTACAAGCCTTACCATTGTATTTCCAGTTAATTAGACTACACACTTATAAACAATATAATTCAGTTACCACCTTCATTCAAATCTTTGTTATAAAATTCCAATGTGCTTGCTCCAAGAGCTTGGGGATTGAATGAGGAGCGCTGCACAGACCAGTCTCTGAATTCAGATACTACATTTTAGACTTGGTAGACAAACTTCAGTTAGTTGCATCTGTGCTTCAGTTTCAGTTGCATCTAGTTTCAGGACTCTCATTTAAGAAACCAGCTGGTTAACTTCCAAGGTATCTCTTAGTTCTATCATTTATAACCACTGTCTTTGAGGTACAAAAGGAAGTATGCTGACCTTAGAACCCCTTAGATTGGGATCTGTCTGAAGATGGACATTCAAATGGTAATACTTCTCAAACAAACTAAAATATTACCCATGCTTATCAAGAGAGAAAATCAAATTTAAAAAATATAATATGAAAGCACTGTTTTGTTACAAAACAATTATATGAGTATAATAATAAAATTGCAAAATATCATTTGGAAGTTTAAAACATTTACCTAAAATCCTCCTAGAGGGAACGGGAGGCCAAGATGGCAGCACCAGGAGAACACTGCATCTAAGAAGCAGGTCAACATTTTCCGTGCAGCGACCAAAAGACTGAACTTTGGGCCCTAAAACAACAGCGATCGTGTTTCCCAGGTGAGAGGAATAGCGTGGGAATCAGGTGGGTCCAAGCTCAGGCCACCCAGCCAGAACCTGGAAGAGATCCCAGGTCGCACAGGCCAGACCAGAGCCATACGCCTGCGTGTCCTGATCACCTTCCCAGGCTGATCGGTGGGCACAAAAACACCAGAGACAGGGAGTCCCAGTTGTGAGAAAAACCCACAGGGAAGGAAAGCAGCTGGACTGGCCACAGGTCACCCAGTCTTTCCTGGAAAAAGTCTCGCAGACCGCGGGTACCCGCCGCCATCACTGAACTGGCCTCCCGCCACTGCCAGCACAGACAGGGGCTACGCCCAGCTCTCTAGCACAGATGGAGCTTCATGCCCTAGTGCAACAGAGACAGGGAGTTCCTGTCGGAAGAGGTCCCCACAGGGAAGGAAGGAAACAGTATTGACTTGGGATACCCAGGCTTTACCTGGGGAAAGTCTCTCAAAGACCTGCAGATACAAGCCCCATCACTGAACTGGACTCTCGCCGCCAGTGCCAGCACCAGCGCCAGCACCAGAGAGGAACTGCATGCTCAGCTCTCTAGCACAGAGGGAGCTGCGCGCCCTAGTGCAGCACAGTCTGGGAATTCCTGTTGGGAGAGGCCCCAACGGGAAGTGAGGAAACAGTACTGACTTGGGTGACCCAGGCTTTACCTGGGGAAAGTCTCTCACAGACCAGCGGGTACGAGCCCCATCACTGAACTGGCCCCAAGCCTGAAGCACAAAGAGTAGTTGGGCACCCAGCTCCTGCAGACTAGCAGGCAGGCACACTTGCCACCAGCCCAGAGACCTACTTTGTACCAACTATTCCTCACAGACAGAATTGTGTGCCCCAGGACACCAGAGACATGGTGTCACTGTCTGGAGAAATCGCACAGGGAACTAAGCAAAGGGGACAGACTTAGGCCACCCAGTATATCCCTGGAAAAGGTCTCGCAGACTGGCCCAACCCAGGGACCTGCCGTTCACCAGATAGCCTGCTGTTACCAGGAGAGCAGTACTCACCCGCCACAGATTACTGCTTGGGTACTGGGGCACAGAGCCCCAATCTCAGACCTTCAAAAGCTCGGGATCCCCGAGATCAACCAACAGAAACTGCTCCACGGGGCAACCACTTATCCCTAACAAAACTGATCAAACCACGGGACACAGGTTACAGCAGCAGAATTCACAGCAAGAAACTGGGCAGCTGTCTTCAGGACTTCTCCTGGTGAGAGGAGAGCCCTCTCGACTAATAAGGACCACAGTTACCATTCAGGTCTCTACGCCTAAGGTGAAAAGCGGCAACTCCTGAAAAACACCAGCCATCTAGTGACTATACCCAAAAAGCTGAGAAGGCTTCCTTCAGAAAAAAACATCTTCCTGCCAAAGGGATTCTCTCCACCAAAGGATTCCAGGAAAAACCAGAAACCAACTTCAAAAACCTAAGATAGTTCAACCAACAAAAGCCAGAGCAATATGGCATCTCCAGAACCCAGTTATCCAGGGACAGGTAGCCCTAGACACCAGAGCATAATTGAAATGCAAGAAGAGGACCTAGCATCTATGATCATGAAGAAGATAACAGAGGAAACAAATAAAATGTGTAAAGAAATAGAGGAAGATTTAAAAAAAAAAAAAAAACAGTTTATGGCCATCTGTAAAGAAATAGAGGAAGTTGCAGCCAAACAGTTAATGGCCTATGGAGAAGAAATGCTTAAATCACTGAATTAAATATAAGAAAAAGAGGATTGTTCAAACAAACAGCTGAGGGAATTGATGGAAAAACAGGAAAATACAGTCCGACAAGTGTAGGAAATCAAAAAAATGGCTCAAGACCTGAAGACAGAATTGGAAAACTTAAAGAAAACACAAATGGAGGAAACTGTGGAAAGAAAGAACTTAGGGAAGAAAACAGGAACCACAGAGGTTAGCATAACCAATAGACTACAAGAGATGGAAGAAAGAATCTCAGGTGTGGAAGATACAATGGAAGAAATAAATGTATCTGTCAAAGAAAATGTTAAATCTAAAAAATTCCTGACACAGACCATCCAAGAAATTCAAGACAACATAAAAGGACAAAACCTAAGAATAATAGGTGTAGAGGAAAAAGAAGATTCCCTGCTCTAAGGACCAGAAAATATCTTCAACAAAATCATTGAAGAAAATTTCCCCAAGTTAAAGGAGAGACAAATAAGAATTCAAGAAGCCTACAGAACACCCAATAAGTTACACCAGAAAAGAAAATCCTCCTGCCACATACTAATCAAAACAGTAAGTATACAGAACAAAGAAAAGATACTAAAAGATAAAGGCCAAGTAACATATAATGGCAAACCCATTAGAATCACACCTGACTTCTCAACAGAGACTATGAAAGCCAGAAGGGTCTAGACAGATATCATGCAGACCCTAAGAGAATACAGATGTCAGCCCAGGCTACTATACCCAGCAAAACTCTCAGTCCCAATAGACAGAGAAAACAAGATATTCAATGACAAAAATAAATTTCAGCAATAGCTACACATGAATCCAACGTTACAGAAGACATTAGAAGGAAAAATACAACCCAAGAAAACTAGCTACTTTCAAGAAAACACAGGAAACAATTAACCTCACTACAGCAAAACAAAAAGCAACCAAACACTCAACCTTATGACCACAGGCAACATCAAAATCAAAGGATCTAACAGCCACTGGACATTAATCTCTCTCAACATCAATGGACTCAATTCTTCAATAAAAAGACACAGACAAACAGAATGGATGCGTAAACAAAATCCAGCAATACGTTGCATAGAAGAAACTCACCTAAGTCACAAAGATAGACATTACCTGAGGGTAAAGGGTTGGAAGAAACTTTACAAGCAAATGGACCCAAGAAGCAAGCAGGAGTAGCCATTCTAATAGCTGATAAAACAGACTTTCAACCAAAATTAATAAAAAGAGATGGGGAAGGACACTTCATACTCATCAAGGGAAAATTCCACCAGGAAGACATCACAATCCTGAACATCTATACCCCAAATACAAGGGCATCCACATTTGTAATAGAGACATTGATAAAATTTAAAGCACATATAGATCCCCACACATTAATAGTAGGAGACTTCAACACCCCACTCTCAACAAAGGACAGGTCAACAAAACAGAAATTAAACAAAGAAACAATGTCTCTAACAGAGGTCATGAATCAAATGGACCTCACAGACATTTACAGAACCTTACACCCAAACACAAAAGAATTTACCTTCTCCTCAGCATTTCATGGAACCTTCTCCAAAATAGACCATATAGTTGGTCACAAAGCGAGCCTCAACAGATACAAGAAGATTGAAATAATCCCCTGTAACCTGTCTGATCACGATGGAGTAAAGCTGGACCTCAACAACAAGAGAAATAGCAAAAAGCCTACACATACACGGAAACTGAACAACTTGCTACTAGATGACAGCTGGGTTAGGAAAGAAATAAAGAAAGAAATTAAAGTCTTCCTAGAACTCAATGAAAATGAAGACACAACATACCCAAACTTGTGGGACACAATGAAAGCAGTGCTAAGAGGAAAGTTCATAACACTAAGTGCCTTCAAGAAGAAATTTTAGACAGCTCATTCAAGCAACTTAATGGCTCACTTAAAAACCCTAGAAAAAGAAGCAGACACGCCAAAAAGGAGTAGACAGCTGGAAATAATCAAACTCAGGACTGAAATCAATCAATTAGAAACAAATAAAACAATTCAAAGAATCAATGAAACCAAGAGCTGGTTCTTTGAGAAAATCAACAACATAGACAAACCCTTAGCCAAGCTAACTAATAGGCAGAGAGACACCACCCAAATCAACAAAATCAGAAATGAAAAGGGGGACATAACTACAGACACTGAGGAAATCCAAACAATCATTAGGACTTACTTCAAAAGTCTATATGCCACAGAATATGAAAACCTAAATGAAATGGACCATTTTCTTGATCGATTTGACTTACCAAAGCTGAATCAGGACCAGGTAAATCAATTAAATAGTCCTATATCCCCCAAAGAAATAGAAGCAGTAATGGAAAAATCTCCCATCCAAAAAAAGCCCAGGACCAGATGGCTTCAGGGGAGAATTCTACAAGACCTTCAA